GTTTTTTTTTTCATGTTAATTTTTCACTCTGCTACTTTGCTCAATATATTTATTAGCTGTAGTTTTCTGTTGGAGTCTTTAGGATCTTTTATGCATAGAATCATATCATCTGCAAATAAGGATATCTGATTTTTTTTCCTATTTGTATCCACTTTATCTTTTCTTGTTTTGTTGTTCTAGCTAAGACTTCAAGCATTACATTGAATAGGAATCAAGAGAATGGGCATCCTTGTTTCTGATTTTAGTAGAAATATTGGAGTTTTTATTTGTTTAGTATGTTGGCTTTTGGCTTGTTGTATATTGCCTTTATTAATTTGAGATACATCCCTTGCATCCTGATTCTCTCTAGGACTTTTATCATGAATAGATGCATTTTATTGAAGTTCTTTTCTGTATCTAATAAGATGATCATGTGGTTTCTGTCCCTAAGTCTAATTTCTGTGGCAGATTACACTTACTGACTTATGTATGCTGAACCACACCTGCATCTCTAGGATGAAAGCCACTTGATTATGATGGATGACCTTTTCTTATGCTCTTAAATTCAGTTTACAAGTATTTTATTGAGAATTTTTGTGTCTATGTTCATTAGAGATATTGGCCTATAATTTTTTATCTGTTTTTTGTTATCAAGTTATTAGTGGCTTCATAAAAACAATTTGAAAATGTTCCTTACATTTCTACTTTATGGGATTATTTTAAGAGTATTGGTGTTCTTTGAAGTTGTAATAAGAGTTCTGTCCTGAATCCATCTGATCCTGAGCTGTTTTTTTTTTAAATAGTTGGGGTATTTTTAATGACTGTGCCTATTTAATTGCTTGTTATAGGTATGTTTGAATTATTTCCTTCATGTAAGTTTAGAAGTCATATGCATCTAGAAATTCATCTATTTCTTTTAGACTTTCCACATTTCTGGAATATAAGCTTTTCACAGTATATCCTTATGATTCTCTGAATTTTCTGTCTCTGTTGTAATACCTCCCTTTTAATCATCTCTAGTTCTATTAATTTGTGTCTCCTCTCCCTTCTAGTTAATTTGGTTAAAAGTTTGTCAAACCTGTTAATATTTCAAAGAACCAACACTCTGTTTCATTGAGTCTATTTTTTTTCTTGCTTCTATTTCATCCATGATTTTTGTTTATCTCTTCTTATCTACTGTTTTGGGGTGTTGTTTTTGTTTTTCCATGGTTTTCAAGTGCATGATTAAGTTATTAATTGAGATATCTCCATTTTTTATGTAGGCATTTAGTGCTATAACCTTTCTTCTTAGAACAGCCTTCTTTGTGTCCCATAGATTTTATTATGTTGTGTTTTTACTTTCATTCAATTCTAAGGATTTGAAAATTTCCTGCTTGATTTCTTTCTTCACCCAATTATCATTCAGAAGTGTTGTATTGTTTAGTCTCCATGATATTATGTACTTCCTGTATTTTGTATTGCTCTTGATATCTACCTTTATTCCACTGTGGTCAGATAGAATGCAGGATGTTATTTCAAATTTCCTGTATTTGTAGAGACTTGCTTTGAATCCTCATAAGTAGTCAATTTTGGAGAGAGTTCTATGAGCTGCTGAAAAGAAGGTACATTCTTTAGTGTTTGGTTGGATTGTTTTGTAGATGTCTGTTAGATCCTTTTCATTTTCTGTTTATTTTATGATGTAAGTTAACTTCAGTTTCTCTCTTGAGTTTTTTGCAGGGGACCTGTCTATTTGTGAGAGTGGGGTGTTAAAGTCATCCACTATCACTGTGTTGGAGTTAATCTGTGGTTGCAGATCTAATAGTATGTTTTTTTTTTTAAATAAAATTAGGTGTATCTGTGTTTGGTGCACATATATTTACAAATATAATACCTTCTTGGTGGATTGTTTCTTCAATGAATATGAAGTGACCCTCCATATCTCTTCTAACTAGTTCTAATTTGAGTATATTTTGTCAGATATTAGAATAGCTTGCTTCTTAGCTCTGCTTGTTTGGACTACATTTTTCCATCCCTTTACCATAAGGTGTTACCTATTGTTGCAGGTAAGGGGTGTGTGTGTGTGTGTGTGTGTGTGTGTGTGTTGTTTGAGGCAATAAATAAGATGCATCCTGCTTTCTAATACATCTGTTCATCTGTGTCTCTTTATGGGTTGACTGGGACCATTAATATTAAGAGGTATTAGCCAGGCGGTGGTGGCGCATGCCTTTAATTCCAGCACTCGGGAGGCAGAGGCAGGCGGATCTCTGTGAGTTCAAGGCCAGCTTGGGCTACAGAGTGAGTTCCAGGAAAGGCTCCAAAGCTACACAGAGAAATCCTGTTTCAAAAACCAAAAAAAAAGAGGTATTATTGAAAATTGTGCACTAATTTGTGTCATTTTGTTGTTTCGTAGTGTTTTCTTGGACTTCTTTGAATTAACTCTTCTGGGATTGTTTATTTCCTGTGACTCTTGGGTGTGTTTATCCTTCTCTTCAGACCAAAGTAGTCCTTCAAATATCCTTTGTAATCCTGGTTTAGTGGTCATAAATTCCTTTAATCTATTCTTATCATAGGAAGTTTTTCCTTCTTCAGTTTTAATAGATGGTTTTCCTGGGTATAGTAGTCTAGTTTGACAGTTGTGGTTTCAGAACTTGGACTACATATTTTCAGGCCTTTCTGTCTCTATAAGTTTCTGTCTAATAATCAGATGTTATTCTGATAGGCCTGCCTTTATAAGTGACTTTACTTTTCTCTCTTGCAACTTTCAATACTCTTTCTTTATTCTGTGTTTTTAATGTTTTAACTACAACATGTAATGAGGAATTTCTTTTCTGGCTTTGGCTCTTTGGTGTTTTGTAGTCCTCTTGTACCTGAATGGGCATCTTATTCTCTAGGTTTAGAAAAATTTCGTCTATTTCTATGTTTTTGCTATGGTATTCTTCTATGCCTACAGTTCAAAGGTTAGTTTTTTTATGGTGTTCCAGATGATAGGAAGCTAGTATGTGGGTGCTCAGAACCAAATTACATCCTCTTCAAGAGCAGCAACTGATTAACTACTGATTTATCTCTCCAGGGCCTGTTCTTATAGTTTTTAAATTTTTCTTATTGTTTGATTATAATTACATAATTTCTTCCCCTTCCTTTCCTACCTCTAAATCCTTTAATACATGATGCACCTCCCATATTTATGGCCTCTTTTTTCATTAATTATTTTTCATATGTATATTTACCTAAATACATAGCATGCATAGTCTGTATAATGTTATTTGTATGTATGTTTATTGGGCTGACCATTTGGTATTGGATGACCAGTTGGTGTACCTCTTCCTGTGGAGAAGACTACCTCTCCCACTTTCAGCATTCCTTAGTTGCCTGAAGTTCTTTGCATAGGATTGAGGTCTCCTAGACTTTTCCTCATCCATATGATCATGATTGTTGTTGTCCTTGTTCAGCTCATGTTTAGGCAGTCATGTTGGTGAGACTTTAGGGGTGTAGCTTCTGACATTACTAGGAGAAAGGATCTCACAACAAACTCCCTGTTCCTCTACCTCATACTTGTTAATGTATTTTCTAAAAACTTCTCATTGGCTTTTACTGAGTGATCTAATTTCTCAACATTTTTTTTCTGGCTCTGAGCCTTTTGTTTGCTACATTATCTATTCTGTTGGTGAGTCTTTCCACTGAAGTTTTTAATTTTTTGAATTTTTCATTTCCAGCATCATATCAGCTTGGCTTTTGTTCAGCAATTCTTTTTGTTAAATTATATTTTTATATCTTGGGTTTATTTCTGCATTTCAGTCATGTCTTTGTTTTTGTTCTTTTGGAGTATATTCATGTCTTTGAATTGTTTGAACATAGTTGTAATTATTCTTTTAAGTTCTCTGTCTGGAAGTTTTTCCAGGTAACTTACATTTAGGTGCCATTATTATGTGATTAGTTTGTGGAAGAGACATATGGTCTTGTTTTTTTTTTTTCTTTTTGCCTGTTCTGGGACTTGCACATCTTGAACAGTTTGTTTGTTGATGTTTTTCCTTTCTTCCCTTAAGTCTTTCTTTTAAAACTTCTCTTTCTTCTTTTAGCAGAGAAATTTACAATGTTCAGAAGGTTGAGATGCTCATTTTCCTCTGTGGGGATTGTGAAAGAAGATCTGGAGTGGTGTAGGCAGGCCCAAGTAGACTAAGCCAGATTCTCTTCTTTCTGAAGAAGGATGTGTTGGTTGTACTTCTGAAGCAAAATTCTTAGGAGCTGTAGGTCAGCATGGAGCCCATGGTCCTTGCCTGAAGTGTGGCTGGATGTATAGTTAGGCCTCAGCAGGGGAGGCCTAGGTTTCTTCTCTAGAGCAAGAAGTTCCTGGACAATGTGAGTAGGCCTAAGTAGGGAAAGCCTGGTCTCCTTCTTGCTACAGGGGATATGCAGGCTGATATCCCAGAAAAAAATCTTGGGAGCTATAGGCAGGCCTGGACAGGAGGCAGTGGCTTGCACTTGGAGTATGATTTTCAGGAGGCATAGGAGGGCTTCAGCAGGGGAAATGGTATGCAGGAGGCCATTCATGCTGGTCTCCTGGTACAGGGGTTTCCCAGGGAGGTATGGGTTGGCCTAAGCAAGGGAAGCAAGGTCTCCTTACTTTCTTCTGAGAATGTTAATTCTTATACGTGCAACCCAAGCACTCAGAAGGCTGAGGCAAGAGAATCACTAGTATGAGGCCAGTCTGATCTACATAGTGAATTTAAGGACAGCTGGGGCTATTTTACAAGACCTTGTCTCAAAACAAAATGCAAAACAAATCAAGACAGAACACTGATGAAAGCAGACACCCTTGCAATGTTTCCTAGCTTAGAGATTATCCTGTCTGAAAATTAAGTATGATGTTAGCTGTAACAAAACAAACAAAAAAATCAAAAGGATATTGAAACTGCTTCCAAAGCAAGGGGGAAAACTAACAGAAAAAATTCCCTATTTTGGAAAGAGCCAAACCATTATTTTCATAAAATCATTATTCTTTAAAAGAATACCTCAAAAAATCCAAGAAACCCCTGTATACTTACAAGTAAAAAATAATGTGGTTTCATCTAGACGAATGGTCTTTGGTTTGATACATAAATCCACACTGGCAGTGTCCAGACTCCGCTGATGAGTCTTAGAATTATAGCATGATGCTGAGCGGCAGTGGTCTCGAAGCCAGACATAATCAAAGCGCATCACAGTGCTAGCATATTGCAGTTCTAGGGAAAAGATCAGATTTAACAGAAATACTTATTTAGGAAAACTAAATACCAACAGTAAAAAACATTCTTTCTAAAAGACTTTTACTAACAAACAAGTGTAGCTAGAGTTTTCCTGCCTGGCCCACAGTCAGGACAAATCTTTGTCACCCGTCAGTCCCACAGACACTCAGACCCAACCAAGTAAACACAGAGACTTATATTGCTTACAAACTGTATGGCCGTGGCAGGCTTCTTGCTAACTGTTCTTATAGCTTAAATTAATCCATTTCTATAAATCTATACCTTGCCATGTGGCTCGTGGCTTACTGGCATCTTCACATGCTGTTTGTCATCGTGGCGGCTGGCAGTGTGTCTCTCTCTCAGCCTTCCACTTCCCAGCTTTATTCTCCTCCTTGTCCCGCCCACACTTCCTCCTGCCTGACTACCGGCCAATCAGTGTTTTATTTACCAACCAATCAGAGCAAAATATTTGCCACACAGAACATCCCACAGCAAACAAGTAAGAGTAATAAAGGACAGGCCCTCGGCATTTAAAAATATACAATTTCTATGATACAAATGGTATGATTTTGGTATATAAAACACATAAGAGTATAAAAGGCTTAGATATATACCTAAATAGGAGAGGGTGCACAAGATGTATTTTGTACTATTTTAGCAATTCTTCTGTTATGTTGAAGTAATAAAAAAAATTAGAATCAACAGAAAGTTAATGACTTTGCTATACACCAGTTTACCTATTTAGCAAAAGTAAAAATGAAGCAAAATTTACAAAAGCAATAGAAACTATAATATGATTGGAAATAAAATGTAGAGAAGTAACATGAAGAAATCTATTAAACTATTCTAGAAGACTTGAAGGAAGCCAATAGGTAGAAATACCATGTTCACAGATAGGCAATTTCAAAACTAGAAAAGATAAATTTACTTAAAAATTAATGGACAAATTTCATGTAATATCAATCTATATCTTAGAAATTTTCATATATTAGACAAGATAATTCTAAAACTCATTTTGAAAAATGAGAAAGTAACAATTTTGTAAAAGAAGGTATGAGACACCAGCTATAAAAGCACATTATAAAATTAAAGTTTTAAGTGTATTAGTATAGAATAGATGAAGAAAACAAAATGGCATTCCAAACTAGACCCATAAATACATGGAAATATGGTATATGAAAAAGGTGTCACTTTATAACAACACAAGAAAGATTGACTTCTCTATAAATGACAATGGAAAAATTATCTGGGAATAGGAAATGCTTCATATTATTAAAGAATCAACTTCTGATAGGTTAATGTTGCTAGAGTTTTCCTGCCTGGCCCACAGTCAGGACAAATCTCTCTCACCCGCCAGTCCCAAGCCGCTCAAACCCGATCAAGTAAACACAGAGACTTATACTGGTTACAAACTGTATGGCCGTGGCAGGCTTCTTGCTAACTGTTCTTACAGCTTAAATTAATCCATTTCTATTAATCTATACCTTGCCACGTGGCTTGTGGCTTACCAGTACTTTACATCTTCCTTATCCTGATGGCGGCTGGCCGTGTCTCCCCCACCCAGCTTCCTGTTCTCTCCCTTCTCCTCTCTGTTAGTCCCGCCTATACTTCCTGCCTGGCCACTGCCAATCAGTGATTTATTCATTGACCAATCAGCAACACATTTGACATATAGACCATCCCACATCAGGTTAAAATATATACAATGAAAACTTTAAATCTCTGAAGAAAGAAACTGCAGAAGATACTAGAAAAATGGAAAGATCTTCCATGTTCATGGACTGGTAGACTCAATATTGTGAAAATGACCATTCTACCAAAAACAAGTTATTGTAGATTCAATACAGTTCCAATCAAAATCCCACAGCAGTCTTCATAGAAATAGAAAAAAAAATCCTAAAATTCATATGGAACCACAAAAGATCCCAGATAGTCAAAGTTATCCTGAGCAAAAAAACAAAACAACAACAACAAAAACAAAATGCTCCATCCCAGATCTCAAGAGATATTGCAGAGTATAAAAACAGCATGGTACTGGCACACACACACACACACACACACACACACACACACACACACACACACACAAAGACATATAGACCAATGGAACAAAATAGAAGACTCCAACATGAGTATATGTAATTACAGCCATCTGATATTGACAGAGGGGCAAAAAACATACACCAGGGGAAAAACAGCATTTTCAACAAAATGATGCTGGAAAAATTAGATGTATACTATAAAAGAATGACATCAGACCCATATCTATCACTGTGCACCAAAACTAACTCCAAGTGGATCAAAGACCTCAATGTGAAACCTGAAAATGCTAGAAGAAAATATAAGAAGTACCCTAACTGACATAGGTGTAGGGGAGGTCTTTCTGAATAGGACTCCATTTGCCCAGGAATTAAGGCCAACAATTGACAACTGGGACCTCACAAAACTAAAAAGTACGAGTAAGGAAATAATTAATTGAATAAAGGGGAATCCCATAAAATGGGGGAGAATTTTTGCCAGCTATACATCTAACAGTGGGTAAATATCCAGAATGTGGAAAGAACTACAAAAAGTCAACAAAACAAAGAACCCAAGTAAAACAATGGGCTATGGATCTGAACAGAGAGGTTTTTTTCAGGGTTGTATTTATATATTCATACATACATAATATATGTATACATATAATAACAATAATCAAAGAAAAAGAAGCCATCAATTTGAGAGTGGGGGACGAGAGAGGTATTGGAGGGAGGGCACCTGGGAGTACTTGGAGTGAGAAAAGAGAAGGGAAAAAGTTGTACAATTCTATTTTAATTAAAATGTATTAAAATTAAATGATGAAAAGCTTTAAAAAGTAATAAAGCTTTTGTTTAAGAAGTAAAAGAAAACTACTCCAATTAATTTGCAGTTATAAGGACTAAGTAAAAAAGATAGCACAAGAACTCAATCTTTCCTTGTAGTGTAGAAGCTGCTGGGCTCCAAGCATGGCATACTTCTGTGTTTTCTCTTTCTGACTCTTTCTCCAGGCCAGTGTGGTCCCCCTCTGTTTCATGCGGACTACTCATGTCTTTTCAATACTCCTAGCTTCTTTTTTCTAATCCTTTTTCCCCATTTATTGAAAATAGATTTTTTTCATATAAAATATTCTGATTATGGTTTCCCCTCCCCCTGCTCCTCCCAGGTCCTCTCACCACCTCTCCCATCTGGCCCACCCTCTTTCTGTCTCTCATTAGAAAACAAACAGGCTTCTAAGGAATAATAATAAAAAATTATTATTAAGATAAATAAATTAAAAAAAAACTAACTCACCAGAATAGGACAAAACAAACAGAAGGAACAGAGCCCAAGAAAAGACACAAGAAATGGATACAGATGCAGAGACCTACTCGCTCGCACACTCAGGAATCCCATAAAAACACCAAACTGGAAGCCATAATATATACACAAAGGACCCATGGGGTAAAAAGATAGAGGGAAAACATAAGTAAAATAAAAGATAAAAAAAATTAAAAATTATAGCTGGAGAATTTCTCTCCAGCTCCCACCACCAAGTCCCGCCAGTCCCAGAGTCCACTTATAAAATAAACACACAGACTCTTACATTATTTAAACTGCTTGGCCATTAGCTCAGGCCCGTCATTGTCTAGCTCTTACTCTTATATTTAGCCCATTTCTATTAATCTTTACTTTGCCACGTGGCTCATGGCTTACCGGTACTTTACATCTTCCTTATCCTGGCGGCGGCTCCAGGCCGTCCCTCTTCCTTCCTTCTTTCTCAATTCTCCTCTCTGTTAGTTCCGCCTATACTTCCTGTCTGGCTATTGGCCAATCAGAGTTTATTTACATATAGCGATATCCACAGCACTTCCCCTTCTTTTTTTTTTTTAAAAGGAAGGTTTTAACTTTAACATAGTAAAATTACATATAACAAAACAATTATCAAGCAAGAATTACAGTTACAATATTAAAGAAGAGAGCCTATCTATCTTATATTTGTGAGTTTAAGGTTTTATATCTAACTTATCTTTTATTATAACTAAGGAAAATTGTAAGTATCTAGTCTTTAACCACATCAAAGACCTCAGAAGGATATAATACTACCTGAGAAATGGGAGAAGGATGCAAGCAACTTTTGGGAGTCTTGCAGGGTAGACAGAGACAGCTGACAGCCTGGACAGTCATCTAAAGTTTTCTTGTAAAGTTGGGGCATCTGTCTTCAGCCCACAGGCCTAGAGTCTCTTATTCACTTTTTTTTGTGTATTGTAGAATGTCTGGCAGTTTCCTCTGCAAAGCAGGAACCTGAAGGACCATTTTGTCAAGCAAAGTTCAGTGGTCACCTTTCTATGGGTCCTGCATGTCCAGTTGATCAAGCAGTCCAGGCAAGAACAGTTTCTTGCCCAAATGGCTATTTTTGTCAAGGTGAAGATAAACTCCATATGGAGTGTCTTCGATGCCCATACTCCTCTCTGAAGTAAATCGGTGCTGTCAGGAGCAGACATGTCTCACTGTCCAGAAAGTCTAAATTTTTAAAACATTTTAAATGTCATATTCTGTAGGTATTTGAAGTGTTTGAAGACTACCTATCTATCTGAAATATATCTATGTATACCTAGAAGACTTAACTAACATGGCTACAAATATGACTATCATAGATGACTAACTATTAATCTATTTTTTAATTATCCATTACAATTTTAAATGAGTTACATAAACATAATACCTCAAACAAGAATAGAAATATATATACAGTATAACAAAATTAAGTTTAAATTTGTATCAATAAACTAAAATCTATAGCAATGTAAAACATTTTAAACAAGTTGTTATTCTTTAAAAGTAGGTTCATTAATCTACCCTTTCATCCTATCCATTGAGTTCATTTTCTGTTGACCCTCTACTGCTGGGCAAGCAGCCTACCTTTAAGAGTAGTTTATTTCCCCAGTGAGACTCCTTTAGAGAAAACTAATTTCTTATTTGCAAATGGTTATCAATTGGCG